AATAGCTCCGTTTATCGCGATCTGAGACACGTACGCTGTCTCTAGGAATTGCATACACAGATTGCAGCGGAATATTCAGATTGCAGATTGAGGCCAGTTCTTGTAAATCTAATGATGTCACATTTTCGCTACTAATCTACTAGATAGGCGTTGTATTATCGCAGTGTAGAACGTCGCTTCTCTTTGGATTAAAATATTGATTTTGTTTTCATGTTTTTTAATAGTGTAACCATACAATTCTTAAAATTTAATATCTAATTTGTAGCATGACATGCTATTGGCGGAGTATTTTATGATATTTAATAATATACTATGCCAATATCGGCGTCAGTCACTACTTTAATGGAAGTATAAAAATATTAACCACGATTTCGCTTCCCTAAAAATAACTCATCATTGATTAATATATTCATTGTCCACTGTTGAGCATGGACTTCTACAAATAAAATGCTACAAAGAAACAGTCGGACCCTTAGCAATTTGCAGCCATATAAAGGGAGATTCCTTGTGCCAGTGGTGTTCTACTTTAATGAACTCCCCGGTTTTAGAGTAAGGGCACACGGGTATGCGACCATAGCCTCCCTAACCAGAGCATTTTCTGAACAATCTTCATTTCCCAATTGTTATATTCCCCTTTCACTTTAACCACTAAACCTTCATTTATTGTTTTACCAAGTTCCTTTACTAGCTCGCAACGAGGGCAGTCGAGGTTTCTTTTTTTCTTAAACCTTCGCTTCATAACGTATTGAGCGAATACTATCAACAAATATATTTTTAAGGGGGGTTGACGTTAGGCAAGTGGCCGGTTGTAAAACCAGAAGCCAAAACCATGCGTGATATTTTTTTTTATACAACTTAGAATGGCTAACAAGCTGACGGCCCACCTGATGGAAAGTGATAACCGTCGCCTATAGACATGAGCAGTACCATGGACATAACAGAGTATACTATTTCGCCCATGATACCCCCCATGCGTTGCCACTCCTGAGGACTTAGGTGTTATTCCTCTGTACCCAGTAATTTCACGCCATATCCCACCCTTCAAACCAAAACATAGCCATGCAAACACAACTGCTTTACGGTTGAAACACGAAAAGGACAGAGGTACCCAAGCAAACGACTTTTGTACAAAGTCTCCCTCTGGTAATAAATAGTCTGGAAATGGTCTGGTGTGATATGAATTAAACCATATTACGCCGACCCCAAATAATTGGAATAAAGGCACGAAGATAATAACGATGATCGAGAAATATTCCAAGATGCATATAAAAAAATTAATAAAGAGGTGATATTTCATGAAGAAAAAAATTGCAATAGCTCCACGAGAAGTAGCAAAATTTTGCGCTTTTGTAAATACGATGAAAAATATGCCAATAAAACGTATCAATTAAGCGATGAGACATATCAGTTAGGCTAATATACGATGTGACGTTACGTCGAGTACATATTCACGTCAAGATATCTCTCTCGTTTATAAGGAATTTCAATGTTTACCGTAGAAGCACGTACTTAACACTTACACACGGACAATTCAACTAAATAGTTATATACGCATTCGATTTCCGCGATGAGGCAAACGATCGTAGAAGCACGGATGCCGGCACGTAAACGCGATGGGAAATTGTATGCGTTGAAATTTCAAGATGATTGGTGGGTACTCCGCCTCGCCTCGGGTCTTGCTTGGGTAATGAAGATGGTAAATGCTATCACGAAACAAGCGAATATAATAAATGCTAACTTCCTTTGGTAGTTATATTTTTCTAGCTGATCCGCAAAATGTTATTTTTTTCCTATCAAAAATTTTAATGGTCACTTATTAGGAAAAAAACTATCCTATCTCCCAAGTTGAAGCAAACTATACACTACTGGGGGAAAGGGATTGTTAGTAATGGAAACTGAGAATCCCCTTGCTAGCAATATACCTAACCAGGTCGACCTCCTCGCGGTTCTCCCTGGAAACTATCATGGTTAATTCCAGATGGCTAACTGGCCTGTTTTCATTCTCATCTATCACCTTTCACTGGGGCTCCACCAGCGTATCCCGTTAGCGCAGGCGAGGTTACCATACCATTTTCACCCATCAAAAAAAAACTATACACTACTAGTATAGGTCATACGGATTCGGAGATTATCATGAATGAATATTTTGACAAGGAGATGTTTATATTTTAACAGTATTTAAATCGGATATTTTAGATAGAATTAGAGTCTTAGCTTATTTGGCACTCAAAAGCTATTACAATCTATGTGAAGAGTCCAAAAAGAAAGAGAGTCAAGAGAGATTATATATTTTCTTGGGAAAATGGAAGCAGGAAGAGCGTTCCACTCCTTGGTAGTTCACAAGAAGAATGATGAAGGAAACCGATTTGAAAGATGGGATATGGCACAGAGGAATAACACCTGAGTCCGAGGAATGGCAACGCATGGGAAGTATCATGGGCGAAACAGTATACTCTGTTATGTCCACGGTACTGTTTTTTTTAATGGGTGACAATGGCATGGTAACGCCGCCTGCACTATCGGTATACACTGACGAGGCACCAGTGAGGGATGATAGGTGAGCATGAAAAGGCAGGTCAGTTAACCCGTTGTGACGAATTCAATGATAAATTGGTCACGATGGTTTCCAGGGAGAACCGCGTGGAGGTCGACACCTAATAAGGTACATTGATAGCAATGGGAATAACCTCGCCATTTCTAACAATCCCTTCCTACCTCACGGTATGTATTATGTCTATAGGCGATTATGACTGACTGCGGTTGCCAATCCGCCTGCCAAGCGTGGCAACTACTGGCAAAACCCCCTAAGAGGGAGACTTATGTTCAGAAGTGGACGGTTAAGGGAAGACGATGTTGATTAAAATCCAACAGACAGACATACAGATTAGACAAGTGGATGTATAACATAATTACAATATCTACATACCTACAACATTGTATGTAAGCGGCTTGGCATTCCACCGCGCTACGTGTCAAACAAAATTATGAGCGATGCCTTGCTAGGTGGTGTAGCTGCCACTGTTAGCCAATTAATGTATTAACAGAGGCGTCGGACTGTGGCAAGATTTACGTTCGCGTGTCCCGTCTATCATTGTCTCTAGGGTCTATGTGACGGCCAGTATTCATCTAAATAAGATTTTTTTTTTAATACGGCAATGAAATGGTTACTCCCTTTTCGCTATCAAAAGACGCTGACAGGGCAGTGAGAGACGACAGAGTTTTTTTTTTTATTTTTTTTAAGAAATGGTAACCCCGTATGCGTTATCGGTATACGCTGGCGGGCACCAGTGATAGATGACAGGTCAAGATGAAGGCAGGTCAGTCGGCCCATCGTAAAGAATTCAACGGATTGTTAGTAATGGAGACTAAGACTCCCATTGCTAGTAACATACCCAACCAGGTCGACTTCCTCGCGGTTCTCCCTGGAAACTATCGTGGTTAATTCCTGATGAGTTCATCATGATGGGCTAACTGGCTTGTTTTCATTCTCACCTATCACCCTTCACTGGTGCTCCGCCAGCGTATCCCGTTACCGAACCATTTTCACCCATAAAAAAATTATGATGGTTTCCAGGTGGAACAACGTGGAGGTCGACCTGATAGGGTATATTGCTAGCAATGGGACTACTAGTTACCAATACTAATAATCCCTTCTCCCTATAATCGTTGCTTGTGCAAGGGTGTTATTGCTCTTTTTTATAATAAACTCAAAAAAAAAATTAAAAATAAAGCACTTGGCATATATACTATATATATTTGTAAATTTACATTTAATTATTAAATTCATCTCAACCAGGCTACCATGTATTTAAGTAAACAGGAAAAAAATTATCAATTACGAATAGGTACAACAATTATTGGGTGCGTTTGCCTTCAACAGGCGCGACCGAGCGTTTATTTATTATAACTAATTATGAGGCAAATAATATCTAGAATTAGGTAGACGAGAAGCGCAGTGAATGCTATTAATGTGCAACTACCATCACGACCCGCTGTGTATGCAAATCGTACTTCCTTCGCAGCTTTCTAGCTTTGCCAATTGTAGTCTCTGTAAACTATGGTAAGCCGCAGATTAACTTTCCTATACTATATAAAGGCGCGATGAAGTACTAAATATGTCGAAGTACATTTTACATTTGGCATTTTTTCAAATACTGCCATCAAGTTGACGGTGTATCCGATGGAATGCGGTGACTGTCACTTAGAGATAGATCATCAAAAGGAATAGAAAAAAAATTACTTGACACACGTTCTTTTTGAAAATAGGATTCACATAAATATATAATTAGCAAAATTTTAATATGTGTTTTAGTTGTATATCGAAGCGCCATTTAATATTTACAATTAATTATTAGGATTACTTATTGAGTCGATTAATTGATTGATTAGGCACGGACCTACAATTTATCAATGTATATCATGTATTTTAAAGGTTTTTATACATAAACACGAGTAAAGAAATAAGATTTTATACTAATAGATTAGTTAGCCTCTCCTATATAGGTAATTCAATCGTTCTCAACTCACCATAATAACCTACAAACAAATCCACGAGGTTCTTTTACAAATTTGAGGATAAAATCATGACTAATTGGGGTTATTGAACCATAATTACATCGTTGTTTACTTGCTTGTACTCGCAATTTATAGCTTGTTGTTATAAATACATTTATTATGAAATTAATAATGTAAGTGATGGCTTTATAATATTCATTGCTGAGGAATATTTATATGATTCATATATTGACCTCAAATAAGAAACCGTTAAATAAATTTCATTAATTTTACAGTAATACATTTTTTATTACATTTATTCAGCACCAGAGGATCATCTTGAACTTTCACGCGTTTCACAGCTAAGCTAAGGCTATTGCTAAGTTAAATAACTCGAGGAAATCTTATGTGCCATTGGTAGATAGCGGGCGCACTCCCCTCTTATTGGTTCACTTTGTAACGGGCCTTCTGCAGCTGCATTCACACGTGTCATCTGGCCGCACGGATAGCGCCATCTTCGTGCTTGTCAGTTCGCCGCGAACTGTTGTGTGGATAGTGTCTACGACGTATCCAATTCCAATAATATTATCGCACCGGTTCCAATTACACCGGTACACGCAAATTTAAGGATAAAATATATACATAACTCAAAATAAGTGTCGATTTAATTCATGTTTGTGTAGACCGATTAGGTTTTTATTCAAGTGCATCAGTGAATTCGTCTCGCGATCTACGCGACTGCATTTCTTTGGTGTGTGAGCTCGCTGACGTGTAAAAAGGTGAGTTTTTATGTATCTAGTTTAGTTAGTTTTTGCAATGCTGATTATCGGGTGGATGGCCGGCCGGTGGCCGCCGGCGCGCCGGTAGGGGAGCGACGGCTCCCGCGAATCGATTGTCCCGGCTCCCGGGACGGCTGTAGGTATTAGGTACGTACGGTACTACGGCTGGGACAGAACGCAGAACACCCTCAGCCCTCGCGCCTCCTCTGTCGTGCCTACGCACCCATCTATTTGTCGTTTCGTTTTGTTTGTCGATGATCTTGAACTAGGAGCGAGTGAACGCATTGCGCTGGTTTTTGTTATTATGAATTATTTATAAATATTGTGTGCACCGCACCGTTGACTCGGAACGAAGACTTTGACTTCTTCTGGTCTTTTATTCCAAGGAGTTGGAAGGTCGACGACATCTCCCAAGACTGATCAAGACCAAGGCTGTATTTATATTACTACGTTATTCTTCTTACTGTTTTGTTAATTTACTAATTATTTAGAGCTTTTATTATTTGCTTGAAAGAATTTGCAATCTTATTAGAAATACCATTTCGACTCATAAGATTTCAGTGGTAATGGGTTCAGTTACGGCCTTATTTAATATTTATGTGTCAATTGTATACATTTTGATCAACTCTTCAGTGCCTGTTAAATTCTATTAATAAATCTAATTAAGTACCTGATTAAGAGCACCCTGCGATTTTAAATTTAAATAAGTCAAAATGTGGGTAGATACTATCCTACTTAGAATATCATTACTACTATATTATTATCCATTCTATTTTCCTTTCAGATGTATAAGTATCATTGTAAAAAAAAGGTTTAGTATAAATTTAAATGTGGCGGAAAGAATTTTTAAATACCCAATAAATTACCAATGAATAAAATCGAGCCGTCTACTTCTTGCTGATTCAAATAAATCAATACCTTTTTTTTAATAGATGATAATGGAATTGGTAATCTCCATGACTAACAATTCCTTCTTTCCCCAATCAATTACGTTACATTAGTTTTAGGTAAAGTTAAAGTTTTTTCCGGGACAGCAATGTGTATATGACACCCCTGGTTTCCATCCAGGCATCCACAGGCTACTGTAAGAATCTACGATCAGACTGGCTGTATCCACCTTTGTGGTATAAAAAAAAACATACAGGATCCTGTTTATTTAGTAATAAAAGATTTGAGGAAGTACAAAAGTTGTGAACTAGATCTAAAAGATATCTAGAACTTAATATTAAATTAAAAGGACAATGAAAGAAGAGCGTCCAAAAGTACCTATAGATGCATTTGGGCAATGAAAGATTACACGTGGAAAGATCTATTAGACGTTTGCAATAAACACTGTTAAATTATTAGAATTAATTTAAAGTAATAAAGCTTAAAAGAAAGCTTAAAACCTAATCAAAATTTACTTGGCTCTAATTTGAAAGTTTTTGCAGAATCCATCTCGAGAGTCTCGTGTAAGAAAGAATATTCGCAGCTTTCTCCCGCTGTCTAAACATATTTTAATATTACAAATCTATTTTAATAAAAAAAGTTAGATAAAAATTATTAATCCATTCTCCGACGAGTATACCATGTCGTTTGTGACTATCTTCAAAAGAAATCGTAAAGGAATTCCTCTGAGAATGCATTTAAAGTTTCGAATTTGAACAAAAATTATCAAATCAATATGGAATTTTTTTGTGAAGTGAATAAATGAATGGGCATGGCCCGAGTTTAAAATGTGACCGCTGGTGATTTATAATTGACATTACACTGTGGGAATTCGGTACCTAAAATGGGTCTCTCTGATGAATTGCTGATATTATGTCAAATTACAGATAAATTAGAGAGAGTTATTAAAAGAAATTTACATTAATTTTTAGAGAATACCCTTGGGGCATTATGGGCGAAGAATTTGAAAAATTTCTATTAATTTTTCGACATCGCAATAACCGCATTTTTAAAAAGAGCAAGCACAAAAGAACATGAAAAGGTCGCAGTGTCTCAGGCTTTTCTGCCTGAAAAAAGCCTCTTTTTCACAATAACAACAAACCCCATTTTTATACGTACATTGGGCAAGGCTCCTCGATAGGATCAACTTTGTTTACGTGACATTTTTCGCGCGATGCTTCGTTTCCGAATTATAGGGGCCCAAACATTTCCGGGACTTAAAAAACCTCAATGACTTATTCGAGATAACTCCTAAAAGTATTTATTGATTAGATTAACGTCTTTAAACGTCTCCATTTTGCGGCTTTTAGTAGGAAACTGGAAACACCTATGAGTATTAGGATTGCATCGTCCATTTTGATTCAAGGATCGCAGTTATCACCTAAGTTTCCAAGATCTGCGAATACCTTACTAGCTTATAGTTTATAAGAAATGAAAATTAACGCAATCATTTAGGTAAAGTATAATAATATTAGCCGTGTGGTCTTGGCATAGAATAGGCCACCCCTTTATTTCCCGTGAGTGTCGTAAGAGGCGACTATGGGAGGGCGAGGGATGGGCAGCAGCAGATTCTAGAATAAAATCTTAAATCATTACTACATTACAGGCCATACAAATATATTCGGCTGTTTATTATTTCTAGTGTTTTGACAGATATCGATTCATCGTGAAAGTGGTATTAAACATGAACGAATGCTGTTTTATATGCATAATTAATTTGAGTGAATCTCGTCAGACCACACTGCATGTTACATCTCATTTTTACAACCGTAACTACTTTCGATTTTTAATTATACACAGATCAAGATGTAATATCATATTTGGATAATATTTTAGTATTTATTAGTATTATATTAATATGCATGTTACGTTAATAATTCTATCAAAGAGAATCTGTTCAGAAATACTCTGCCGGTTTTTACCATTTATTTTACCAAACTATACAAGTTAAATGCCCTTTTTTATGCCGTGTGGTCCCGGTATAGAATAAGGCATCCCTTTCTTTTCTGTAGGTATCATGAGAGGTGATTAAGGTAACTTAATGTCAAGTCAAGAAATGGGCAGTGTTCCTCTTAAAATATCATCCAAAACCTAATTGCGGTTGCTAACCCGCTTGCTGAGCATAGCAACTACTGGCAAAACCACCTTATGTGGTAGCTATTCTTAGCAGTGGACAGTTAACGGTTAATATAATGTCGATACAAGTTATGTTAATGTTTAACCTCTCTGTTGACTCCTGTCAATTCCTTCATATCTATATCTAGTCGAAATAGATGAAGAAAAAATAAAGAACTATTTTTACTCAAGCGAACATAGATTTAGGCATTTTTGAATAGTAATTTTTGCATTACCGCTAAATTGGAATGCAATTTCAGCCAAGAAGAACGAGTAAAAAACTGAGCTATTGTTTTCTTCAAAAAATTTCACTACAGTTTAATGACTTTGTGTGAATATAAATGAAATTGGGACTACGATAGGCTCTCTAAGTACGTGATCAATCTATGTCTTAATTCTTAATGGGCTATATTGGAAGGCAAAAGGGAATAGTAACCCTGTCTGCACTATAAGTGTGGCTCCAGTGGGTGATAATAGGTGAAGATGAAAGCAAGCCAGCCGGTCTATCGTGACAAAATCAACTACGATAGTTCCCAGATCAACTGCGTGGAGGTCATCCTGAGAGGGCACAGATTGGACTAATTCTAGAATACGTGAAAGGGAACATTTCTATTGCTTATCGAGTAATTCTGTTTAATAATTAGCAAATAAACTGAATTTAGCTCAAGTTGCCTAATTAGTCATTGAATTGTAAAGTGATTGGCTTGCATTTTTTTCCTGTTTTAAGGTAGTCAGTTAAAGTTATCATCACATAGTTTTTTTTTTTATACAACTTAGAATGGCAAACAAGCTGACGGCCCACCTGATGTAAAGTGGTAACCGTCGCCTATAGACATGAGCAGTACCATGGACATAACAGAGTATACTGTTTCGCCCATGATACCCCCCCATACGTTGCCATTCCTGAGGACTCAGGTGTTATTTCTCTGTACCCAGTAAATTCACGCCATATCCCACCCTTCAAACCGAAACACAGCCATGCAAACACAACTGCTTCACAGTTGAAACACGAATAGGACAGAGGTACCCAAGCAATCGACTTTTGTACAAAGTCTGCCTCTGGTAAAAGTTTGGTCTATTGCTAGTCGTATCATAGGATTTGTCAGTAGAGATGTTAGTTTGGAAGAAGCACTCAATTTAGCCCTTTGAGTGCCGATGAGCGCCATCGCGCTCGTGCGCATTGCAACTAAAAGTGCCACGAGCGTCATAGCGCTCGTGAAGTCAGTCGCTGTTTAGCTTGCTGCAAAAAAATAATATTAAAATTGGATAATTTTTGGAGGAGATACAGTTTTTTTAGAGACAAGCGTAAATGACATCAACACGACAAAGATCTCTTTGGCATTTTTAAGTAGATATGAGTAAAAATCGATGGCAATAAAAGGTTTTTTGTTTTTGATGAAAATGGTATGGTAACCCCGCCTGCGCTAACGGGATACGCTGGCGGAGCACCAGTGAAGGGTGATAGATGAGAATGAAAACAGGCCAGTTAGCCCATCATGATGAATTCACCCGGAATTAATCATGATAGTTTCCAGGGAGAACCGGCACTAAAAGGGTTATGAACAACCATTTCCTTGGTATCAGAATAAATATTTATAATCAATAATTAGAGACCCTTAAAACATTATTATAGCTTCGAAACAACACCAATTTAGTCTGCAATTACTGTAGTAACATATCATGCGATAAATAACAAGCCGGAAGCCAACACCTCTAAGTGGGTAATTGTAGAAGCCCCACAAGATGCATTGAGCGTTGAATCACCTTTCACCTCATTCTTTACACGTAAAGAGAGAGCTTCTATTTCAGACACACCGGTATCTACCATAACAAATAGATCAAAATTAATGAGCGCGATGGAATCTCCGTCTCGTCTCGTCTCGGAGCGATGATCCGATCTCGGTACGGTATGGCGCGGTAATTACGTCTGCACACGCATGCGCCATCTGCCGACAAAT